ACTTTGAAGTAGGGAGTGAGCACATTTTTGTATAATCAGCCTCTGACCACTGTGTCTTATGTACTGAAGTTCTCTTGAGACAAATGGTCTCAGGAAAAGAGTGAGCTTGATTGTAAGATTCGGATAATTATAGTTGTGTTGCATTGTGAAGCAATTCTGAATTCCTATAAGTAGCACTTACATTTCAGGTTAAGCATAACATTTACACTAGAACATGGTGGTGTGTGAGGAGACGTTCTGCTAAAGAGATGTTTATTTTTGTAGCTGAAGTGATGGCCTCACATTTTGATACAGTATTTGTTGCTATGGAATAATTATCTAGAGTAGAGTGTCATGATTCAGATGGAGATTAAACAACAGGAATAGATCGACTGAAGACTTTAAAGATGGTTCTTCGAGTATTTGTCAGTGTGCCTATGTGTTATGCATGAGAATTTGCAATCTCTTGAACAGTGCTGTCAGTTGAGCTGCAAATGTATGTTAAGTTTCCTTGTCATGGCTAGCAGGTTCAACTCCCATAGTTTCTTTTATTCCCTCTGACAGCAAGATGTCCTGTTCATGGACTTACTAGCAGTGAACTGGGTGGAAGTGTCAGTGATTTGATCCAGGTTACAGCAGACATAGAAGTCAAGGTAGATAGACTAGCTCCATTTCAAGTGTTATACAAAGAAAATACTCTCCATAGACATATATTGTGTTTCATATCACTGCATTTGCTGACCTGAATCTTTCTGATTGTCTGTCTTGGGCCATTGGTAGCTGCTCTTGGAGCCGGGCCAGTTCATTGTAACAAAGGTTTGACTGAATAATAGCGTGTATCATAGAGTGATGTTGGTTGGCAGCATTGCGTAAGTGACTGTCCACCAAAACTTGCTCTACCTGAATTGAGACAATATTCTCAGGCTCTTTCATAAAAATCCCAATATATGAGGTTAGTGAAACATCATGATCATAGCGCTTCATGAAACATTATGTACTGCTCTTGTCAGGTAGACGTGTGATTTTTGGAGGACAATGTTTGATTCTCTTTGTGGGCACTGATGTTCCCACCATGGTTTTTGCAGGTCTTGAGTACTGGGAAATGGCACTGATACGTAGTTGAAGTAGAAAGTATGCCTGCTTATGACGATGGAACTTCTGAGATTTTTCAGTCATTATGGACACCACAAATTGTTATCCATTCTTACTCTGAGAATCCTCAGTTAAGGTGAATTTGAATGGAGGCAACTGGAGGCTGCAGTTGCCTTGTGTCCTTTATACCATTGCATGGAAGCAGATGAAAGTGCTGGGCACTTCTAACAGACACATCTGGTCAAAAACCAGTGAGCTCACATGAGGCACTTGAATGTCTACCCTGTGAAACCACAATACCAATGTGAGTCAGGAAATTAAATTCATTTTAGGCAAAATCACTGATTGCTCTTCAGTTATCTAGTAAGTAATGACAGCAGTCGTTAAAAAGAGTAAGAGGAACTGAGAAGTACTGGATAAGTAGGAAAAAAATTCCATAACCCCCTCAGATTTTTGAAGGTTTTTTTGGGACATAAATAGTATTTTGGAATTATCAAATGGACAATTGAAGAAAGGCTATAAGCTGTGCCAAGATGGCGCTGTTTGTTACATCACGACATTACATATACTCTATGCTTTCAAACAGTTTGAGAGCTGATTTTTATTTCCTTGCCTGTTCTGGATAACCAGATTTTCAGTTTTTACTTATGAAGGCAGCATTGTTGTCATATTCTGTAATGGGAATCATGCACTCTGTAACTTTTTTTTTTTAATATCAATTTCTTTTGATGTTTTATGATTTCACTGTGTGGGTGGGTGAATGTTGATTGTAAGGAGATTAACTAATATTTCTGAAGTCCTGGAAAGATGATAAATTGAGATCAAGGTTGCTTAGGAAGTTATTGAAGAGAACTGAAATTCACAAGCCATACAGTAGTGATAACAGAGGATCAGTCACAGCTTATATCCCTTAAGAACACCCATTCTGTGTATACTTAATTTTGTATGCTGTTAGTGTAGCATGCCTTTAAGAAGTACTGGGTTAGCTAGCCTCCCTCTGAAAGGAGGAGAGATGTTTTTCCTCTCCTGGCTGTACTTCTGGGCTTGTTATGGTGGAGAAGAGAGAGATTGCAGGGTGTGATATGCAGGAGGTTCACATCAGAGAGCTTGGGTGCCAAAGTTCATGCAAAGAGACTAAGAGAATGCAGTAGGGAGCATTGAGAAGACAGTCATACCTCAAAGGAGATAGAATCTGTAATTAGAGATGTTAAGAGATCAGAGGCAAATGAGGGGGGTTTGCTTCTAGTCAGTAAGTAACTGGAAGTAGTTGCTCTAAATGTAGTATGAAGGGGAAAATAAATTTATTACAGTAGTGCTAAATTTTTTGGAGATTGTGGAAGATGCAGTCTGGTACATCTGCATATGACACTGGCTTCATTTGGAATGAGGTTTGAAAATAAATACAAAGCTCTTGAAAGCAACAAAATGTTGTAAGACTGCTCTCAGCTTTATTCCTGGCTCTTGCATTCTTTTCACTCCCTCAGTCTGGAAAGAACTTGTAAAGATCAGACAAGAGGGAACTGAAATTGTGGAGTTTATGTGTAATTAAGATACAAATATTATTCTCATCAAAAGCAGAACGAAGATGGTCATGAACTCAGCAATGTGCTGTAGGCAGTGGGAGAACAGAGCTCTATGTGAGAGGAGTAGAGCTGTCTGAGAATTGATTCCAGGACTGGAAATGTGAAGATAGTTTTTTGACTAAAGAGGAGCTGAGATTCAGGGTGAAGACTTCAAGCCTCATGGGAGAATTATTCAGCAGTGATAAGGAGTGGTGCAATCAGAGCATGTCAGTTTCAAAGTGGATAATAGATACAGAAGATTTAAGTTACAAACCTTCATATCAAATTTTGCATTCCTCTTTGTTTTCCTCATCAGGCACAATCAAGCCCTGAATTCTCTGTGAGGTCACAACTGTAATGAAAATAATTAAAATAATGGCAGTATAAGCTCCTGAAAGAAAGTAACGTCAAAGAAAGAATTCGGAAAATAAGTTAGCAAAGATGAAGCCACTTGTGAGACTGTTCTGTAAGGGAAAATTTAAATAGATAGAAATGGAACTAGAGGCATAGATTTCAGAGCTATTTCACAGTTCTGAAAATTGCGCACAATAGAAAAAATATGATTGGACAGAATGTTTTTAACTAAAAGCTTAATTAAGCTTTCAACTTAAAAAATAAGTAATTCAGAAAGTTATAAAAGTGATGCCGGCATTTTATATTTTCATCTCTTCCTTGTGTTCAGGTGTTTCTTCACTGCTATTCTTTTGCAGCTGCGTTATTTACCATAAAGGTCTACTGCTGAATATTGACTTCATGACAGGTTTTTTTCAGATGTTTTGTGTTTGTCCTTCTACCTGGATTATTGGCAAATGTTTATTGAATTGATATTAGTTCTCTTGAGAAACTATAAAAAAAGGCATAAAATTCACATAAAGGATATATTAATTAATTTTTTGCTTGCTTGTAGACAAATATTTGAATCCATATTTTATTCAACAATGATAAAAATCTTATCAACTTTATAGTGCTTTTCTAGCAATGTGTGACAATTTATCATAGGAGGAGACCCATAAAGCCTTCAGTTTTTCTTGATGTGGATGAAGGCAGTCATGGGCTGAAGGAATGTGATGATTCAGCTTAATGTACTTCATTAAACATTTCTCTGTTGTTGGAATTTTCTTCTTCTGAAATAAACAGTTCCTCTTAAATGTATCATTAGAAGAGGACTGTATGCTATAGACCTTTTTTTGTTATCTGAAAGTTCTATTCAATAACTTTCTACAATTCCCTTCCCATAGTCACATTATATTTTAATTATTCTAATTGACACCTACATGTCTTCTCATTGATCGTGAAAGATATAATAGACACTGTCTACTTGAATGAACAGAACCACAGACCTCATCATTAGTCAGAGCAGTGACGAGGACCCGATTCAGAAAAATACACTTAACATCTCCTGTGAGCAATGCGTACCTTTCTAGAATGAAAAGACATTTTCCTCCTTATAATCTGTGTATTTCACAGGTGGCAAAGTCACTAGGTTGCCTGTGAAGATACCCTGAGGTTTCCAACCAGCTCAAAAATGTGACTAGGCTGAAATTCTGGTGTTAACAACTGGATCGTTAATAACTGTGCTATTGATTTCAATGGGGCAAGGGTTTTACACTCAGTCTCCTGTTCACAGCTTTCCCTTTTCAACATATTTCTCAATAGCAAATTACTACATTTTTAGATTACTCCTATTGAATAAGCTATTTCTGTTTGAGTTTCAGTCTGATTTTATTTCCCAGCTTCTCTAGAGGCATTTGATTTCATAAAGTCACCTTTATGGAGTCCGGCATGGAAACACTGCTAGTAAGTTCAACTTTTAGAACATCCAGAATAGATCACTGATTACCAAATTATTTTTCCCATAGTGGGGTCCAGCACGCATGTCCAGCTACATCTTAGATCTGATTGTTCCCCGTTATTCCCTGGCTATAATATTTGTCTCTTCTTCCATTTGGAAAATGGATATCAGTTTCCATAAAGAGCGAGGTGCCATTCTGGGTGAACAACGTGATTTGTCTCGTGCTGCTTGGCATGCGATGTGTTCCATCTGTAAGGAATTCAGGGCAGAGTGCGTGGAGGGGTAGGGGGTAGAAGTTGGAGAAATTAAGGAATGGGACAGGGAGATGTAACGTTGTGGATATGAATACAAATTGTAAACAGCGGAGCTAGTGACATACCTTCTTTGACACCTGGAGGTGTCAAAGCACTTCTTTGTGTGCTTGGCCTGGTACATAATTCTTTTAGACTTCTGCATTTGTATTCACACACAGACTTCTTATAGCATTGTTTTATCTTCATTGTTAGCACACATGACAAAATCATTGTTTTTCTTCATTCCAGGACTACAGTGTAACCAATTGTTTTTTCTTTAAGAACTGCCTGAGACTACCTTAATTGAAGAGGAAGTTCGAGAGACAGAGACATGGGCAAGGCCTCTGGTTTACCTTTGGCAGACGAGAGCACACAATTTCAATGCTGAAAAAGAATACAATGCAGCTTGTGCAAAAAAGGAACCACACTGTGCCATTTGCACTCTTCTCATGCCATACTACAAGGTAAGCAAGATCCGAACAGCTCCATCTCTGGGTGAAGTGTGAAATAAGCTGCCCAGCTACTTCATTTCCAGTAAATTAGAAAAAAGATAAGCTTATGCATTTGATTTGTATGAGAACTAAATAAACTCACTATTGTTAAAATTAGAACTGATAACTCTGTTCACCTGCTTTCATCCTTTGTTGCAGACAGTGTGTGCCTTCTACTAGGGTTTATGTAGGATCGGTGTCAGTGTATATGTGGGGTCGGTGTCAGTGTATATGTGCTTGCCCTTGAAGTTACACTTTTGGAGGTGGTGACTCCACATAAATTTGTATCTTTTAGCTATTTCCTTATATGTCCATCTTCAAATGTTTTTTATCGGAGCCTCTTCTATGTCTCCTTCCTGCAATGTTGAAGAAATGTTTTCGCAGTACTTAGGCCTTCTCAGGAATAATATGTCCATAGAAACAGTCTAATGCAGAGCACTGTTTGATACTGGTTTGTGGAATTCCCGTGTCAAATGTCAGCTGAAAATGCTGCTATGGTACTAATTCTGAAGCTGCTAAACTGGAATCTCCTCAGCATGGGAACTAGGAAGAAAACTTTTATTGCACTGTACTCGGGTAAAGAGCTCAAAGGGAGACAGAGGTACAATATCATTGAACACGGCTGCAGTAACACTAGTTTGCAGGCTGAGTGCTATTCTAGATTTCAGAGTTACTTGAAAAATCAAGGAACTATAGAATGACTGATAGATACTAAGAAGCAGTTAATTTTCTCGTAAAACTGTTACATTGTTAGTGCAAGAGCTGGGAGGAGAGCTTTTCATCCTTGTCAGAAGGAAGAGTAAGACAGATTCTCCTTTTTTTTCCTTCTTAAATACATTTTGTTTATTTTCCAGCCAGACAATCATGATGAAGAAAGTCCTGCTTTTGGGGAAGCAAACTCAGCAGAAACATTGATGGCTGAAAATGAAAAGACTAAACCTCTTATTCCAGAAATGTGTTTTATTTATAGTGAAGAAAACACTGAAAACTATCCATCAAATGCCTTTATCGAAGAAGATGGAACAAGTCTTCTGATTTCCTGTGCAAAGTGTTGTGTGCGGGTTCATGCAAGTAAATAAACTAATTGTTCAGTTGGCAGAAATGTAATTTAAAATTTTGTTTTATTGATAAATAATAGTTAACTAGACTTCTAGTATGTCTTTAAAAGTACGTGAAGAACATTTCCATATGTAGTGCTTCAGTCACTGACTAAATTATTTTAAAGACTATGTTACATTTTCTATTACTTGTTAGTTATTGCTGTGAAAATAGCAAAGAATTAACTTTTCTGTAAAGTTTTTCTATTCATAAACTTCTGATTCTTATTTGAATTCTGAGCTGTTAAATAGCTCTTTTACTTCTCATATTTTAAATCACTGGATGATATTACTATGTCCTTATTAAGTAGTCAGGGTGAAATCCTGCTGGATTTGAGGACTTGTGAATATTGCTATTCACTTTAGGTTTGCAGTAATTTCCTTCACTGTGCATTCTTTTTTATATCAAGAGTGACTGATGAATGCATGGATTTTCTGCAGTGTTTTCTACAGACAGTAGGACATAGTTAACTCTAAGAAGTCCATGTGAAATAAATGTCAGTACATGAATTCAAATTGTACATTCTTACTGCAGGGAGAATTGGTGATTTCCTATTGAACTGACAGAAAATAAGAAATTTCCTAGGGTTGGGTTGGGGTTTTTTTTGGGTGTTTGGGGTTTTTTATTTCTTTTTTTTGATTTTTTGTTTAGTTTGGTGGGTGTTTTTTGAGTCTTCAGAAGAATGTCTGTGTGTCTAATTTATATATTTCATAGACTGTGGAATTAGCAGTAAACTTAGATTGGAAGTTTTGTTGGTCACAAGAGATGTGTTTTACTAGGGTTTATACACAGTTGAGTTGTGTTATATCATAGATAGAAAGGCAGAATATATTAATCAATCCAGTTTTCTTATTCTAGGTTGCTATGGTGTTCCTTCCCATGAAATCCATAATGAATGGTTGTGTTCTCGATGCAGAAGAGAAGCCTGGACAGCTGTAAGTTTCACACGTTGCTTAGTTATCTAATGTGTTAGAGATTAAAGAAAAAAAAGAACCACGATTGCATATGGAATGTAGCCTGTGTATTTTTTTCCTGAAACACACACTTGCTGGTGAAACAGTATTTGTAAAATACAATTAGATTTCAATATCAAATGTAATAGCATTTTGATAGACAAATTTGGAGTAGGTTTATACACTCCAGAAAAAGATTGGCTAGCAGAATATAGTTGTGCGTAAAGCATTGTTCAAGGAAACAATTGAAAATGTAAATGCATCTAAGATAGAGAAAAATTGAGATTTCCTCTAAATATTTTAGACTTTTGGTATGTATGTGTGGGCAGCTGGAGAACAGAGAAGGGAAAAGCCAATAATAAATTACAGTCAAGAATGAAATTGTTCTTTTACAGCATTTAAGGTTTACTACGCTGTATAAGCAGGAATTAAATTGTGAAGCTGCTGAATGCCTATTATTTTATTAAAAAGTGTAAAATAGTTGTATACAGCAAGGAATAAATAGACAAGCAATTAATAGTTCATAAAATCCCTAAACATATACTCATTTAAAAAAAAAAGTTTAAAATTTTACATTTCACCAATCTGTCACTTGCCCTGCTAAGTCATCTAATATTTGTTTTCCTTAAAACAGCTTGAAGAGATGTGATAATCAGTTTTGGTGGCAACATAGCTTTTCTTCATTAAGTTGTTGAATCAAAAGCAGATATTTCCAGTTCCTTAAAAATGTAAATCCTTAAAAGGCATAAGAAAATTTTTTAGATATGTTGAAAAAGAAATGAGAATTCAAACTGTTGGAAAATACAGTATCACTTTGTCAAACATCACTTCTTGCAACTATGAGAGACACCTGTAAGAAATTCACAATCACAGCATTAGTGAACTGAAAATAACAATAAATATAAACAATTTGATTTTCCTGTTGTACACTTTTGTTGTCAACATTTTAAAGTTCTTCTGTGAATGCTAAAAGTTAAGGAAACAAAAGAGGAACTGGTGATTTTAATCCACATGTTACCTAAGCTGGAGAAAACAAAAGAAAAAAAGTGACTTAGAACTGCTCATTACAAAAATATGGTCTATCTATAATGTGTAGTCCTGTGTTCTGTCAGTGAATAGCTATTAAAATATTTATTGAATCAATTTCTATCTCAGTAATGGGCTCTCATTGTACTAGGAGAGGTATTCTTACTAGGTAAAATCCAATTTTCATCTTTCATTGGTAGCCAGAAAACCTTGTTATAGCCTCCTTATCAGACAGTTGTGAGTTTCAGGATGTCCTGAACTACTTTTTTGATTGTTCTAGAGTCAGGGGAGGGCTGAGGGGGAAAGCCATAAGTCTATTCTAGTGAGTGACAGGTTGCCATTAACTCAGAATCTAATTATCAGTTAAACAAACAGGGTTAGAAAGTCCCTCTGCTCTATCTAAAAGTTTTGTTAATTTCTCTTCAGGGGAGATACAGCTAGGACATGCCAGTATGGGAATTATAGGGAGAACGTTTTTATTCATGAAATACTGTGTATGACAGCAGTAGGACTGAATCAGATCTTTTTGTTAACAACACTGAAAAATTTAGAACATTGTCTTGGAATCTGATATTAAATGCAGTATAACAGTAATACATTTGAGGGGGAATTTGGATGGAGTCTTTGTCTTTTGACTGTAGTGCATTTTTTAAAATCAGAAGTCACTGAAAAATAGTAAAACAAAGTTCAGTCTTATAATTTGTTAATGCTGTGTTGTAGAAAGGATTCTAAAATTGTTCTGGGGTTTTAAGGTTATTTTATAGATGTTCTTGAAGTGAAGAGGACATTCACGTAACACAGCAGTTGGTGAAAGATAAGAACAAATGCGAGATAATGATTGGGTTGACTCATTTACGTTCACTATGGGGCAATAAAGGGGGAATTAGGTAATGTGATAGAAAAAGGAAAATATTTGGAAAAAGATTAAAGCTTGACTTGACTGGGATTTTTCTTTGACAGTCTTTTAGAGGAAAAATTCACACCCAAGAACAGCATTAATTTGAGAAGAATTATGCATATTCTACTGAATAGGTTTAGTTTTATTCTGTGATGATGCCTGTGTAAGTTTCTGAAAATAAGGAAGATCTGATTTTTAGGGAAAGTGCTTTTTGGCCAAAGTAATTGAGGAGACGAGATGAAGCAGTGGAAAAGATATCAAAAATATGGCAAATAGCTGAATGGAAATTTTACATGAAGAGGTTTTAATACAGAGTTTTTGCAAAAGCACACTCTAGGAACTGGAGAGAAGTCTCAGTGGATTTCTGGAATTTTATGTGTTAGGTAACAGGAAAGTAACAAGTGAAATGGAGCACCATTTTTACTGTGCAAAGGCTAGAGAGTATGTGTTGCCCGCTTGGACAATTTATTTGATGTAAACTTTGGCTGTTATATATTTAACTGAATTGTGATTTTGTATGTGTATTGATTACTGTACAGCTAAATCATTACTGCTGACAACTTCATCTTTCTATAGCTCTGATTTGGTGACCTGAGTGAAATGAACTTATGCCCCAAGAGAGCTCTTCATTCAGATATATTTGTAGAATAAAATTCACATTCTTAATGTCATAAGTTGTCATTCAGTTGGGAAGTTTTAATGAAATGTTGAAGATTTAATAGACCTCACTAGTAAATGTACTTAAAACTTGTCCTCCATAGTCTGCTATCTTGTATTCCTTGTTATTACGTGTTGTTCACATGTCAATGTGAACTGTTCATTGTTAGCTGAAAGATGTAGGAGTGACAGATAGTAAGCATCTACTACCCGAGTTAAATAGCAAAAATCCAACAGTTTCAAGGACGTGAATAACGCTCTTTTATTTACTTATATGTGCATGATACCCAATTCACTTTTTCTTTTTTAATAGAAGGGTCTCTCAAAACTCTTGAGATGCTGAAGCAATCTCAGAACTATGAGTGGTAATTTCTGAGAGTTTGCAGAGCTCAGGTGAGGTGCTAGCAGCATGAAAAATTTAATGTTGCTTTTTAAAAAGGCAGGAAAGAGGTGACCCAGGGAATTATGTGACAGTCAACCTATCTTGGATTCCAAGAGAAAGACTAAACAAAAGATGAATCTGTCAATTTCTAAACACCTAGACAATAACAGCGTACAGAGAGATACGTATTTTAAGAACAAACCAACTAGTTTTTTGCTGTAACAGCTCATGGAAATAAGGAATAAGCAAAAGATTTCATGCATCCTAACTTTCACAGGCTTTTGATAGTATTTTAAACTCTGATATTCAAGCGACAGAAGAGATAGGAAGTAAATCAATAGTTGCCAAACATACAAGAATATGGATTTTCTCTCAATCCTCAGTATCTCAGGCCACCAGCCATCATTCTCATTACACTCTTAAAATGACTAAGGGAGAGATAAAGTTCTGTGCATATTTTACTGATTATTTTTCATGTCCTTATGGAACATACATGGAAATCTGGGCTAGTGTACTTTAAGTCATTTAAGGTGATTGCACAGGAGATGGGAGATTATATTTCATGTGAAGCTACCAAGGTGTTAACTTTACAGAATATATCAAAGTCTTTTTCACAACTGTCAAGTATGTTTCAGGTATTATTAAAAATATTATTTTCTTCAGTTATTTCAATATTTCAATAAAGGGAAAGGAGTAATAAGAAATATTCCTGATGCATTTTCTCTAAGTACCAGGAGCGCTGGGGATTTTGTAGGCTGAAGTTTACTAATTTGGGTTAGGATTACTGTTTTGGATCCTACTATTTTGTAGGACAATAATAATACTACTATATTTAAGAAACGGTGTAAAATATATCATATGGAATTCAACACAGATAGGTACAATATTTGAGAGTAGTTACCAGTTATGCCTACCTAAGCAGTGACTCCTGCTGCCAAGTGCAGTTGTGACCGCTCTGGTCACAAACTGAATGGAAGTCACCAGTTTTATAGAACCTGAAACATCACACCAGGATGTTTAAGCCTTGTACTGGAAGTAAAGCCTGAAAAACACATGAACAATCTTTCTGCTCTCTTCAGTTTTGATGAGAGCCCAGCTGAAGAACTGTGTCTAACAGTGAAGACACATGGTTAAAAAAACCCTATGAGCCTGAATGAGATGGAAGAAAACAAGAGTTGCAATTGAAATTGCCAAAAGAACAAAACCAAAATTCTTTTAATCGTTCCTGATAGACCTCAATCATTAAGGGAGGACTGAAAAAATTAACCATCTTAGTATAGCCAGGGGAAGACAGAAGGGAAATAAGTAGCATTCGCTCATGTAAAATTAGATGTGTGTGGCAAAGATTAACGCAATCTATTGCTGTTCTCTCATTGTAGGGACAAGATGACTCGTAGCAGCTTTAAACTGCATCAGGAGAAGTTTATGTTAATTCCAGGAAATTTTCTGAATTTTTATTTCTAAAAATAATAAACTACTGGAATAGGTTATATAGAGATTTTGTAGATTCTACTCCTTCATGAGTTTTAAAACACGTTAGACAAATATTTGTCAAGAATAGTTGAAGAAAACTTGATTATACCTTGAGGGAGAAGGATTAAATAGATACTGAAGTTTCTTATTTCTATGGTTCTCTCTTTGGAGAAAAAAATTATCAGTTTGATATACAACTTAAATTTATTATGTATTTTTGCTTGTATGGAACCTTATTGCTGACATCAGCATGATTAAGAATTGCTGATACTTATTTGGGTCCTATTTATCATTTTAAGATCATGTTTCTGTCTCTTCAGAGTTTGGACAATAAGCTTAGATTATCCTAACAGCTTTTCACTTAAAAATACTTTTATCTAAGATAAATGTGGTTGTTTTTTAACCAATCTTCTGTACATCTATAAAAAAGGCAACTTACTTGAATATACTGCTGCCCAGAGTACTACTTTCCATTTTAAAAATGTGCAATTCACGTTAGTCATGCCAACCTGCAGCTGAAAGTTTTATCCTACCTTTGAATTATAA